CCGTCTTCCCGGTGAAGAGGTCTACTCTGGCATTGTTTGTAATAGGAAAATTTTAGAAACAAACGTCCATCAGTGGGATAGAAGTTAAAAAAAACTAGGATATCCATTGGTAGGACACAAAGCAGGCATTAAAATCCAGTTTGTTTGTTTTTTTTAAGATTTTATTTATTTATTTGATAGAGAGAGATCACAAGTAGGCAGAGAGAGCCGGGGAAGCAGTCTCCCTGCTGAGCAGAGACCCCCCCCCCCAATGCGGGCTCGGTGCTCCATCCCAGGACCCTGGGGCCATGACCTGAGCTGAAGGCAGAGGTTTAACCCACTGAGCCACTCACATGCCCCTAAAATCAAGTTTTAGAAATAACATGTTTGTATGGACAAACAAGATAATTGCTTACTGTGGGGGAGAAAGGCACAGAACAGTACACATAGTGATTTTAGTATACTAACTGTTTTCTTTGTATGGTGGTAAGATTTTAATTTTCTTCCTGGTGCTTTGCTCTATCTTCCAAATTTTCTAAATGAACTTAAATTCCTTTTATACTAAGAAGAAGGTTACTACCAAACTTCTCTCTAGGTCAGCAGAGCCCAATCAAAACGTATAATGCAAATCATATAATTTAAAATTTTCTAACCACACTAACAGAAGTGAAAAGTAGGTGAAATTTTTAAAATAATTTTAACCTATAGTTCTAAGTTGTCATTTCAACAGGTGATCAGCATAAAAACATTATTTTGCTTTTTTTGTATTAAGTCTACAAAAATCACTTTTAGCACATCTCAGTTCTCTTTAGTCACATTCCAATTGCTCAATATCCAGGTGACTAATGACTACCGTCATAAACAACACAGCTATCAATCCACGGCAGAAGCTATGCTTTCAAATCACATGTGTCCCAAACAGGACTCTGAAACCCTCCACTAACAACCTCATTCTCCTTGTAATCATCTACATCTGTGCCAAACTGCTTCTTTAAATGTCAAAGAGATGGGCTTGGGAAAATCATGGATCTGCATTTGAATCCTTTAACACTTAACTGGCTGTGTGATCTTCAGCAAGTTAATTAACTTCCTTGTGCTTCATTTGACCTGTTTTGTAAACAAGGATAACAATACCTACTCAGAGTCACTGAGATTGAAATAATGTATTAAAACACAATATGGAAAGCACTTGATAACAGATTTTTATTATCTACTCCTTGCCCTTTGCAACCTTCTTTATTCAGATAAAGTAAAGGTTAGACGTACCGGAAGTCTTAAAACGGAGAATTCTTAAAAACGGAGATGGTAGAAAACCTCATTTTAAATGGTCCTAAAACTAGAAAAAGGAATACTCATCCACTGCTGGGAACACAGCCTGGCACAGTCACTCTGGAAAACAGTATGGAGGTTCCTCAAAAAGTTAAAAATAGGGGCGCCTGGGTTCCTCAATGGGTTAAAGCCTCTGCCTTCAGCTCAGGACATGATCTCAGGGTCCTGGGATAGAGCCCCACATCAGGCTTTCTGCTCAGCAGGGAGCCTGCTTCCCTCTGTCTCTGCCTGCCTCTCTGCCTACTTGTGATCTCTCTCTCTCTCTCTCTTTGTCAAATAAATAAATAAAATCTTAAAAAAAAAAAAAGTTAAAAATAGAACTACCCTACCATCCAGTAATTTTACTACTAGGTATTTACCCAAAGAATACTAAGGTATACATGTACCCCTGTATTTATAGCAGCACAATTCAGAACAGTCAATATATGGAAGCAGCCAAGTGTCCACTGATTGATGATTGGATAAGGAATATGTGGTATGTATATTTATACACACACACACCAACACACAAAATGAAGTATTATTCAGCCATAAAAAATAATGAAATCATGCCACTTACAATGACATGGATAAAGTATAATGGTAAGCAAAATGTCAGAGAAAGAGAAATACCCTATGATTTCACTCATATGTGGAATTTAAAAAACAAATGAACAAACGGAAACAGACAAAATGAAGAAACAGACTCTTAATTATTGAAAACAAACTGATAGTTACCAGAGGAGTGGAGAGGGGAGTGCAGGATGGGTGAAATGGGCTGAGGGGGATTAAGGAGTGCACTTGTGATGAGCACTGGGTAATGTATGGAAGTGCTGAATCACTATATTGTACCTGAAACTAATGTAACACCATATATTAACTGGAATTAAAAACTTAAAAAAGAAAAAAAAAAAAAAGAAAAGAAGTGGCAGGAAAAAAAATACATACACATGCACAGTCCTAGAACTAACTCTGGGGGGTGGAGAGGCTTGTTAGGGAAATCCACAATAAATGTATTTGTCCTTTAAAGGGGGCTACCTAACAGTAGGCAATGAATGGCACACAACTTTGCTTACTTCACAAAGCTTTCACTCAGCAAACATTCAGTTCATTTAAAAAAAGGATAAAAATTACTGAATATGTGCCAGCATCATACTAGACAGAGGGTGTTAGGAGTGGAAAAAAAAGGGGGTATATTTGCTTAACTAAATGGAGCAATGAATAAACCAATAAATATTGTACCTTTTCTAATTTTTCTCAACTTGGTTGTCAGTTTTTGGAGTTGCTTCTCTCGTTTCACCTAAGATTTTACTAGGTCATTAGGTCATGGGGTTTCCTCCAAAAGGTTCAAACGAAATATGGTCAGTCTAGTATGGCTGAATCTGGGTGATGGGTGTATGTGAGTTCAACTTTTGTGTGGGTTTCAAGCATTTCAAAATAAAAAACTTAAAAGAAAAGCACCAGTTATAATGGAAGGTAATCATCATGATGTTATCAATGCTCTTAAAGCATCGTTGTTTATACTAGATCATCAGAACCATATAGATACCCCCAAAAGGTAAATGACGAAGACAATTTCCTATAAGACAATTCCTAAACCACGAGGATAAAACACTATCCAGCAACCAATTTACCTCTGCAGACCTTGTCAGTTCATAGAGATATGTAATGAAAAAATGTGAATTGAGGAAGAAAAGCAGAATGGGATTCATGATTAAAACAAAAATCCATTCGATGTGCATTTACAAAAGCTAAAAATGTATTTGACCGGGTAGGAATATTCCTTTCTCTTCTAGGTAGATTGCCCAGGTTCATAATAAATTAAATAAATAACACGTATCATAAAGGCTGTTTGCTAAGCAGACTATCCTACACCAGAGGGCGGGCCAGGGAAAACTGCCTATCTAGTGAAAGGAGCACCAACAAATGAGCACTGGTTTTCAATGGTCATGAAAACATGCAGTGAATGATAGAGTGTACAGTTTAACCCACCACCTGGAAACTTTTTCCTAACTGGGGTAGTTATGCAGAACAATATATTCAACACAAACATTTGATGACTAGTGTCAGATTTTATTTTTACAGGATAACGTCTCAGTCCTTTATCCATAAGAGTGCATACAAAGTTGGGGAGGGGGAGCCTAGCGGCTTTCACTGCCACGGTCATCTGATATCATGCAAGACAGATCAGAGGAGCTGGTTCACATTATTAAAAGATTCTCCAATTTTCTTTCAAAAGCACTTTTGCTTGAAAACATAAAAACTTGCCAAATCATTTAGTACTTAAAATTAACAACACCCTCATCATCTTGTGGTTTAAATGATGGCAGAACAATAACTCAAGGTATTTCCTTTATTAATATAATTAGTATTCTTAGATCTTTTAAAATTGGTCTTTTTGAACCGTAGGGGGAAATGATTTCAAAAGGCTGAATACATATGCTCATTCAAGATACAATTTCTTACACATCCAACCTTTGTAATTTGGATTATAGATCAGTACAGAGTAATTCTGGCACCAACTCTTTGGCAATGTTGTTTGAAAACAAAGATACCATTACACACCTGACCCAGCATTTTTTATTTTGGATTGGATGTAAATAAATTTGTATAATAGGTCTTCTTTAACATAAAAACCATGACTAATTTTTTTTCTTGAAAATATGGTAATTAAGAGGCACTCCCTGGTTCAAAAGCTCAGAGCTGAAATCTAGGTAAAGTCTGACTACACCTTATAAAGAGAGGAGCTCCAAATAGCATAAACTTAACAAAACTTTTGGTTTAAGCATTAAGTTTTCAGGTAATCTCTTCTGGGGTAGCAATATAAAAAGATTAAGAAATAACAATGTTTAACAAAGTATTTGACTTTCCCCAAAATATCTACACCTTTAAGTAGAAGGATCTGAATGCCAATCCTGGTTATAAAATCAACCATCTGGTGATCCTGAGCAAAATACTTAATATCTCTGATTCAAATTCCTTGTCTATCAAAATGAGACTTAATATACAGTTATTTATATTTAATATATTAATTTCTAAATTAAAACAAGCAATTAAATGATAAATGTGAAAATGCTAGTCCCAATCATTGCTAACATATTTATTATCCAGCAATTGTCTTATCCAAAGAGATAATCTTAAAAGAGCCTTTAATCAGTATCAGTCACTTTTTTGCATAACTTTAAGCCAGAGGGCTAGTTAGGCATGACACAAATCTTACCAACGGTACTATTTAACATAAACTTATAGAAACAATAGTTTTGCATCACTTTATGTCATAGGGTTGATTATACACAACAGAAATCTCGCCAACAGAACTGAACTATTTTAGCTTAAAGGAGACTTTGAAAAAACCGAAATGATACTAACAGTCCAAATCCTATTTAAAGAAGCCAACAAAAGGGGAAAGCTGCGATGGATAAAGTTTACCTACCTCAAGCAACTAGTGCCAGCAAGATGGAAAAAGAACAAGACTCAATGACACTGAATGACAGCAGAGACGTCTACTAAAATTCAGGTCTTCCTACTACTTCCCTTGAAAAATAAAACAACACAACACACAAAAGCAGAAACCAACCAACACGCAAGGCACCAGCTTGCCCTCTTGGAGCTCCTCTGAGTAGCTCCAAGGAAAGGGGACAGAAAACTAAGGTGTATTTAATGAATGAAAGCGAGGACTGGGGATTTGGGCAAGTGCACGAGACGGACCCTACCTTTCACAGACTTCCCAACACTGTGTAAGCGAGTGATAGAACTGTAGTTTCGGGCCACATTCTTCAAAAACGCTTCCATCTCTTCCTGGTGGTGGTAGCCGAAGTCCAGCGCACCCCCCAAAGGCAGCAGCAGCCCTAGCCAGAGGCGGACGAAGTCCATGTTCTGGAGATGAATACAAATAACAAAGCTGAGAACAGAGGCGGGAAGGGCTGTGGACGTCCCCAGCTCGGCACAGCTTTGTACTGTCAAGTCCCCTGACACCACCGCTGCCCGCGTCCGAGGAGGTGAAAGTGGGAAGCAGCACCTTCGGGAGTTGGTGTGAGCGGAACCCGGGCAGCCCCAAGTGCGGGCTGCCCTCCATCCCATCGCACGCCCCTTCCTCCCTTCCTCCCTCCCTCCGGTCCGAGAGTCGCCGCCGGCCGGCAGCTGCCAGGAGCTCCGCGCACCCTCAGCCTCACCCTTGCCCAGGCGCACACCTCCATCCGTCGCCAGCCGCCGGCCGGAGCCAATTATAGTCCGGCGCTCCCGGACTCCGCCCCCGGTGCCTGACTGACGTGCCGCCGGCCCACTCGGGCGTCGCGCAGGTCCCTGGTGGGCGGGGCCGAGCGGCGCGGCGGGGGCGGTTCAGCGCCCTTCGCACCTGGGCGGACTGGAACCCGCGCAGCGCGGGCTTATCGGGGTGCGGTGGACCGTGCGGGTGCGCGGTCTAGGGCGGCGGAGGGCGGTGTAATCTTTGAGTCGCCTGTCGCGGTCCCAGGCTTTGCCGGCGCCCCGGGTTGGAAGCGTGTCCTCCCCTCGGCCACGGCTCCGGCGAGGGGCAAGCGGGCGTTTGGGTGTCTCCAGCTGCTGCGAGTTTGCAGCTGTGGAGCCGGGCCCTTGGCTCGACTGGAGCCCCAGGACACCGTGAGAGCTCTGGGAGCCGGAGCGGCTGCGTCCCAGCTGTGCCAGGCTCCCCGGCCCTGCTCTGAAGACGCGAGGGATTCAAGAGAGAAGAACGCGTGTGTGTAGAAGTTTTCAATTGCCAACTGTGCAGTATAGGAGAATTTCCGACAAATTTATTTGGTGCGTGAGATTGGCTACATCAATTAAATTTAAAACTGGAAATCACATGGAAGAAACACAGCCACTATTTGTAAATCCAACACTCCCTCCACCAACACACCCTAGGCCAATTTTAGTTCTCTCTTTCTTAAATGCTTCCTTCTGGAAGGATGGGGTGGTCTACATTTGCACTAGGGATAACAGATCTCACCAAAACCCAAGAGGCGGTTTGTGGTGTGGGCCAAGACCTCACACATATGTCACACATTACCGGTCAGAGAGATTGGAGATTTGTGCCAAGGGTCCAGTGAACATAAAAAGCTTAAAAACCCCTGATTTGGAATAACATTCCTCTTTAACAGATTAAAAATACTAGCGCACCACTGAAAACTAATTGAACAGATTTTGTCCTGGTGAGGTCCTGGAAAGGACATTTTTAAAAAGTGCTTCGAGTGAATCAAATATGCATCCGGAGCTGAAAACCGCTATTGATTTGCCTGCCTCTTCTTTGTTGCAGACACAGATAACTATTGTAGAATTGAGCTCTCAGGAACAATGAGGCCTCCTGTGTTTCCCAAGCGCCAGTGCCTGGAGGGATAAAGCCTAAGACTAGTGTCAAAAGATTTGGGTTCCAATCCTCGCTCCTTCTACCTACCTAACTAAAGTTGGCAGGCACATTGTAAGAACTGTATGAGGTATTTATTAAATAATCTAATTTAATTCATAAGCCTTTAGACAGACTTTTCTAAGTGTTGGAAAATCTTGACATTGTTGGGTTTTTGAACAGATTTCTTTTTAAACTTGCAGCAGTTACTATGCTGTGACTTCTACTAGGTGGCTTGAAGAGGTTCTTTTACTGCCATTCACTGACAAAGAGGCTTCAAAGGAGGTGGGGCGGGGTTGAGGAGTTAACATTTAGGCAAAGTTACTTTGAAAATGGGAAAGGCAGCTGAGGAGGAACAAAGTGAAAGCTTGCTGATTGGTCTTTAGAAATGATACATTTGTTATAGAAGAAAGTAGCAGTTACAGGATTTCTTCAGTGGTACTGTGGCTGGAGACTGGAGAAATGGAGAAATGGTGGCTTTGTCAATATTGAAGTGGAGATTGCAAGGGTTGTTGTACCAAAAAACCAAAGGGGTGAAGTATAGTTGAAATTACTACCCTTGGGATTCACAGTAGGGAGGAAGGGAAGCAAATTCAGAGGAGAACTAATCAGAGAATGGATGGAGAGAGTACAGAGAATTGAGGGCTGAAGGTCTAAAACCTAGTGACTCAAAGTGTGGTCCAGGCAGACGCCCAACCAACTGAGCCACCCAGGTCTGCCTTCGGCTCAGGTCATGGTCTGGGGGTTCTGGGATGGAGCACTGGGTCCGGCTTCCTGCTCTGCGGGAGCCTGCTTCTCCCTCTCCCTGCCGCTCCTCCTGCTTGTACTCTCTCTCTCCCTGTGTCAAATAAATAAATAAAATTAGAAGAAAAAAAAAGTGTGGTCCAGGAAGAGCACTGACATCACCTGTAAGCTTGTTGGAAAGGCAGAGTCCCTTGTCCCATACAAACCTACTGAATCAGAATGTGAATTTTAATAAGATTCTAGTTAATCCATATGTGCATTCGAATTTGATCTGCGCTGGTCTAGACATAGTAAAGGCTCAGTTAGGGTCTAGTGAGAAATAAAGAAAAATAGAAGGTTGGTCTAATAGAGTAAAACTCTGAAGTATAAGACTTCAGAGTTGATCTTTCTAAGTATGACACCACTAACAGTAAAACCACAATAAAGAGGCTAATAATTTGATGACACAAAAAATGTATAACTTCTATAAAGGAAAACTCAGCATAAATGTTACCAGAAAAATTACAAACTGGAAGAAAGAATTACTAGCTTTTGCAAAACCAAGAATGGACAAAAGATAATAATTAGCAGCTCACAAAAGGAGTAATACAAATGACCAATAAACATGGTAAAAGCTACCAAACTGATTAGCAATCAAAGAATTTACAAGTTTAAAGGGCAAAATAGTATTATGTTTTGCATTTCACTAAGAAAGATTTAAAAGATGGACAGTACTTGGATAAGATCTGAGGAAATGGCATTTCTGCTGTTTAAATGGTACTATAAATTGATAAAACATGTCTGGAGAACTATCTGGGAATAGACATCAACATTTAAAATATGTTCTTTTCTAGGAATTTAAGCTATGCAGGAACTCAAAGAAGTGCTAAGTTTATATATGTTAGGATTGTTATTAGCACCACTGTTTTTATTGTAAAAAATAGATAAGTGTAAATTTTAAGTAATAGTAGACTGATAATGTCAGTTTTTCTCAACTGGGATAAGATTGCCCACAGAAGCCATTTGGAATAGCTGGAAATATATATATATTTTAAAGAATTTATTTATTTATTTGACAGACAAAGTTCACAAGTAGGCAGAGAGTCAGGCAGAGAGAGGAGGAAGCAGGCTCCCTGAGGAGCAGAGAGCCCGATGCGGGGCTTGATCCCAGAACCCTGGGATCATGACCTGAGCCGACGGCAGATGCTCAACCCACTGAGCCACCCAGACGCCCGGAAATATTTTTTTTTTAAAGATTTTATTTATTTATTTGAGAGTGAGAAGGAGTGCTCAAGCTCAGAGGGGCAGGTGGGGGAGGGGTGGGAGAGGACCAGGGGGACAGGCAGAAGGGGAGGAGCAGAGGGGAAGGGAGAGGGACAGAGAGATTATTTTGCTGATCACAGGGCCTCATGCCCAGCTCTATCTCAGGATCCTGAGATTATGACCTAAGCAGAAATCAAGAGTCAGATTCTTTTTTTTTTTTTATTTTTTTTTTATTTTTTTTTTTAAAGATTTTATTTATTTATTTGACAGAGAGAGATCACAAGTAGATGGAGAGGCAGGCAGAGAGAGAGAGAGAGAGAGAGAGAGGGAAGCAGGCTCCCCGCTGAGCAGAGAGCCTGATGCGGGACTCGATCCCAGGACCCTGAGATCATGACCCGAGCTGAAGGCAGCAGCTTAACCCACTGAGCCACCCAGGCGCCCAAGAGTCAGATTCTTAACTTACTGAGCCATCCAGGGGCCCCTAGCTGGAAGCATATTTCATTGTCATGACCAGGGGGATGATGACACTGGCATATAACTGGTAGATGGCAGGAATGCTACAGAACATCCTACAATGCACAGTCCAGGCCCTGCAATAAATTATCCAGCCCCAAATGTCAGTGTTGAGGTTGAGACACCCTGGGTTAGACAAAGAACATTACATCCATAAAATAAATTGTTTTTCAGCCATAATAATGATGATGTAGGTCTCTATTTATTGGCTGAGAAAGGTAAATCATTGAGTGGCAAAAACCAGATTACAAAAGTAAAATGAATGGTAAGATCCCATTTTGGAAAGCAAACAAAAAGCTCTTCCTGACAGCAAGTTTAAAAAGTTGCAAAATGCTGAGTGGTATGCTCTGGATGGCAGCGTCTTGATTCTCTCTTTTGAATCTTTTTGATTTTCTGAAAATTTTTTTTCTGAAAAAATTTTTTCTGAAAAAAATTTTCCAGGAAACATGTTACTTCTTTTAAACAGAAAAACAAGACATTTTCATCTAAAAGCAGTACAGAGCAAAAAGCACAGAAATATCTGAGATGAACAGTTCTGAAAGAATAGAGTATCTAAAATCCTTTGTACTGAGTTACAGAAGTGAAGAAGAGTGAAGAAGTGAATTACAGAACTGAGGAAGGCCACTGGAAACAGGATAGGAGGGAACTGAAAAGGGAGAGGATGGATCCATCCTGCCTAAAGACAAGAAGGTCCCCAAGTTAGGGGCAGGAATTGGAACAGAGGGAAAGACTATAGCTCGGGGCTAAATACCTCAACAAAGGTCAACAAGAATGAGAACGGAAGTGTTACTAGATTTTGTGATTTTTTTTTTTTGAAAGATTTTATTTATTTGAGAGAGAGAGAGAGAGAGCAGGCGTAAGTCGGGGAGAGAGGGAGAGGGAGAAGCAGACTCCTCACTGAGCAGGGAGCCCAATTCGGGCCTCGATCTCAGGACCTTGAGATCATGACATGAGCTGAAGACAGATGCTTAACCCACTGAGCCACCAGGCGCCCAAGATTTTAAATATTTTAAATAGTACCAAGTTGTACTTCTATAAAATGTCAAAGTATAATTTCAAAATGTTATAAAATAATGCTCATACAAATACAGTTAAACACAGGTCAAGTTTTTTAACTATTGAGAAAACCAGCAGTAAACAAAGATGATTTAAAGAAAGATAAGAGAAATAATGTGTATCATCAGTATGAGAAAATACTGAAGTTATTCTAAATTATTGCTAAATTAGATATAAATCTGATTAATGTCCTACAGGACAATAAACTATGACCTTTGGTGCTATCTTCTTTACAGAGCAGAAATTATGAGCATCTTACCAATTTTCTACAAGTTAAAA